GTGAGTATTCTATTCAAATGGGATCCTATGGCCATATAGTTAAGGAACCTAAACACAGCTAAAATAAGAGAATTCACTGGAAGTGAGGCCTCATTCTCTCCAACCTGTTCACAAAACACACTGGCTTCCAAGCAAAGATATTCTGATGTCAGATACATGAAGTTTCTGTGTACATAAATCCACTTACACAATAAAACTAATCAGCTGTGACTCATCAAGAAGGATGGGAAAATAGGATGAATAAGGTATTAAGAACAAAATTCCATTTTTCAGAAAAACAGAAAGGCAGATATTTGGTAAATCAAACATTAGATGAAAAGGCTCTAATAATATAGGTAATTCTTTGGAAAGGAAAGCAGCAGCTGGTGCCGGAAAAGCCAGGAGTCTTATGCAAGTCCCATAAGGAGATGTCCTGGGAAGTGGCGACCACAGGGAAGGAACCAGAGATCTGGCCTGCAGGCTGACACTGCTTAGTGAAAACCCCATGGGGGTATGTTTTCAGAGCTAGGGCTGATGTGAGTATCAAAAATTCAAAAAGCAATGTTTAGCCCTCACCGGTTTGGCTCAGTGGCTAGAGCGTCGGCCTGCGGACTGAAGGGTCCCAGGTTCGATTCCGGTCAAGGTCATGTACCTTGGTTGCGGGCACATTCCCAGTAGGAGATGTGCAGGAGGCGACTGATCGATGTTTCTCTCTCATCGATGTTTCTGACTCTTTATCCCTCTCCCTTCCTCTCTGTAAAAACTCAATAAAATATATTTTTTTAAAAAACAATGTTTAACATCCATCAAACATTCATATTGGTGGTAGCGAATAATATGGAGACTAAGACGTTTCCAAGCGGGATGACATCTTCTAATACACAAAAATAATAAGAGAATCAGGACATTTATCAGCAACAAATAAAGAGAACAAAATATGATTATAGCAACAGATGCCCAAAATCATTTGAGCAAATATTACTAATAAAATTTTTAAGGGAAAAATAACAGAATTAAAAGAAAGCTAAAAAAAATACAGTATCTTTCGACGATCACCTTTACTTGGTTATCTTAAATATTCCCGTTATACCCCTAGGAGGTAACCTCATTTTACAGAAAAAAGGAGGCAGGCTCCAGGGTGGCCGGTCCGAGCTCACCAGCAGGGGTAGGAAGCGGTAGCGCCCGCATCTGAGGGTAGAGGCGGGGGTAACGCCAGCACCCGTTTTTCGTCCTCTTCTACGGGGTGGCCTGAACCCGGGCGGGACGCGGAGAAGGCTGGCTGCGTGGGCGCGGCGCGCGAGGAAAAGGACCGAGGCCCCGGCGCGGGAGGGGGCGTGGCGCGCGGGGTGAGCGCGGGGAGGCCGGTGGCGCACCGGGTCCCACGCGGTAGGTTCCCCGCGCCCCTCGCACCGACATCGGGGCCGAAACGCCGTGCCCGCGACCAACTACGCCGCAGCGAAGACACGTCTCCAAAGATGGGGCCACCAGCCCCGCGGCCCAGGCGGGGCCCCGGGGAGGACCTTCAAGGATGCGGTAGGGCGCAGGAAGTGGATCTGGAGGCCTCCCGGGCTCGCCGCCGCCTCGGGGCGCGGGCTTTGGGAAACGGCAGCGAGCTCAAGGGGCCGAAACGGGCACTCACCGTCCATGGTCTCCCTCACCGCATTCAGATTCGCCGTCGCCGCCGCCGCCGCCGCCGCGGCCCCGGTGCCGCTGCTACCCGCCATGGCGGACGCCGAGGGAGGCGGGGGAAGGGTCTGACCCGGAAGTGGAGCGCCTTCCTTTCTGCCGGGCGATCGCACCGCGCGGCCCCCGCGCCCGCCGGCGGCCCCGCCCCCGCGCCCGTCGCCGGCGAGAGGCCGGGTGGATTTGAATTTGGAGCGTCGTTACTCGGCGCGGAACGTGGAGCGTGGAGCTGCCATTCGAATTGACTCCGCCGCCTCGACGCGATTGGCTGGTTCGCGGACAGCGGCGCGACGCGATTGGCCGGCCGCCCGCCAGCCCCGTGCCTGGTTGGCCTGTGACAGCGCGGAAGCGGGGAGTTAAAGAGTCGGCGCCTGCGGTGGGAGCAGCCTGGGCCCTCGGGAGCGCTGGAGCCGCCTTCGGGGGGCTTCCTGTTGACACGCTCCGTTAGGTAGGTGCTCGGTAGTTCCTGGCCTTTCCCCTTCCTCCAGTTGGAGAGCTCGCTCTGCCCGGCTGCGGACCCGCCTGCCCGCTCCCTCCGGGATGCATGGGAGCGGCGAGGGGAGTAGGGGCTGAACGGAGAGGCACCGCGGAAGAGCGGCAGCGTGGCGTGGAGGTGACAGGTGTGAGTGTCCTCCGCTCTCCAGCCGAGGAAGCCAGCTGCGCTTCCGCCTCCCAAGAAGTGGATTCTTCTTCCTCTCGCTTTGTAGGTCTCTTTGCCTGGAGTCATGCAGTCTCGTCTGCTGCCCTGGGGCTCTTAGCGAAAGGAGGGCGAGGAGACAGCCAAAGGCGGTTAACTTCTGGTCTCTCTCTCATCAGTCATACTTCTTTGACGGGGCTGATGTGCCAGAAGGCTCACCTGCACAAGCTCTGTCGTCTCTTGCTTTGCTGTAAATAATTGTTGTGTAGTAACTGCAGCTTGATGGGGAATTGCTGGGATACCCGAAAGATGTTCAGCGTGTTTAGAGACTTAATACGGTGGTATAAGAACTCTTAATATAGGTGTAAGACCTCTAGTTGGAAGGAATTTTGTGCCTCTTATAACACTTAGTTGCCTCGGTGAAAGCAGACCTGAACTCATTCGCCTTTGGTTAACTGTTACTTAGATGTCATTTAAGTTCTCTGAGCTTAATTCCATAAAATGGTATCACTAATACCTGACTGCTCTGGGTTTCAAGGTTATTGGGAGGATCCCTTGAGAAAATGTATGTGATGCCTTTTGGTAAACTATATAAATAAACTAGCTCCAACAGCGTCAGGTTTTCAGTTAATTTTGAGAACTGTTCGTTGAATACTTCTTGATTATCAAAATGAATGTCTGTGGAACTTTGCAGTTCTATTGTATGTCCTTCTGATTTCTTTTAGTTTTCTTCTCTGTGCTATGGGAGATGGCAAAGAACCAAAAATGCAAATAGCACCGGAAACTCCAGGAAGGATCCCTATTTTAAATCCTTTTGAAAGTCCTGGTGATTATTGTAATCTCCATGAACAAACTGTCTCCAGTCCTGTTTTTAAATCAACAAAATTACCAGTAAGTTATTCTTGACTATTGTTCACAAATAATTTTATTTATTTATTTACTTATTTATTTAAAAATAAAAATTGATTTCAGAGAGGAAGGGAGAGGGAGAGAGAGATAGAAACATCAATGATGAGAGAGAATCATTGATCTGCTGCACGCTCTCCACTGGGGATGGAGCCCGCAACTTGGGCATGTGCCCATGACCAGAATGGAACCCTGGGCCTTTCAGTCTGCAATCTGATGCTCTATCCACTGAGCAAAACCGGCTAGGGCTACAAATAATTTTAAATAAAAATATCTTTCTTTACAAAGTAAGGGGAAATTTACCATGGAGCATATATTACTTAGAACGTACTTTTTTAATTGTAATGTTCATTATAATCTAATGTTTCAGCTAAAAACAACTTAGCTAGGAGTTTTTAAAGTTACCATTTCTCTCTCTCTTTTTTTTTAATAGATTACATGTTAGCTTCCTGCAATTGTGCTGTCTATGGTTGGTGATATATAAATATAGATACCATATTTGAGAAGAAGCTGTGTCATCTAGTTATCCACTCTCATTTGTTCAGCAAACATTATTTGAAGGCTGCTATGTGTCAGATACAGTGCTAGGCATAGAGATTACACTGCAAACAAGTCAGGGTCATTAGACACAAATTCCAAAGGAGTTTATACTCTAATGCAGGGGTCAGCAAACCTTTTCCTACAAACTAAATATTTTAGGCTTTGCTAATCATCTGGTTATTGTAACAACTACTCACCTGTGCCTTGTATCACAAAAGTGGTCATAGGCAATATATAAACAATAAAGCTTTACTTATGGGCAGTGAAACCTGAATTTCATGTAATTTCCATGAAATACTAATATTCTTTGGGGTTTTTGTCAACCATTTCATAGCTTGCAGATTGTATTATGGAATAGACACAACTACATTAGCAACTTCAAAAGAATATATGTGCTGACTAGTGGTTAACCACAAGGGTGATATGGAAGAGAACGTGCTCTTCTGGGGATTAGGGAATGCTTAATCACTTTAGCTTATTTTACTGTTAACCGGCTATCCTAGAGAATTTCTTTTGAATTTGTCAAAAATATATTCTGAATTACAGTTTAGGCCCTAGCTAGGTAGCTCAGTTGTTTACAGCATCATCCCAATACGCCAGTGTTGCGGGTTCAATCCCCAGTCAGGGCACATACAAGAATCAACCAATGAATAAGTGTTTGGTTTAATTAGATAGTTGGATATAGAAAGAAGCAGTGGTTATCATTCATAATTATTTTATTGATCAACTATTTTATGAGCTTTTGCAGGCACTTCTATAGTTAGGACTTTAATTTCAGTTCATTCTTATTGAAAATAAAGACCTTAGGTAACTAAGAGATTTTTACTTTTGTTTGGACATCACTGATGAGTGTTAATTGTAGATTTTCTATACCTCTAATATTCTATGAATCCTATTATTATGTAATTTTAAAAATCACCCAGAGGGAAGATTTGATATTTTAAAAGAGATACAGTCGAGTCAATATATAGTGTGATTTGATTACCACTTGTCGTTCAATTTAGTGATAAAATCAGATTTAGAAATATGAAGTGATGGAAAAAATAAATTGAAAATAAATACAGTAAGTATAAAGTATAAGATATTTTTATACTATAACCATTCTCATTATTTTTGAAGTTGACATAGGTTAGCACTTTGATGAACTATTTTAATTTGCTTTTATTCATAATCTCACTTTCTTTTATTAAGACTCCAGGGAAATTTAGATGGTCTATTGATCAACTAGCTGTAATAAATCCTGTAGAAATAGACCCAGAAGACATTCATCGTCAAGCTTTGTATTTAAGTCATTCTCGGTAAGTTTTCCCTTCTTGCACTGAAGTGTAATAACATACCCTCACGTGAAGAGAGAAGGAAATTCCAAAGTTTTATTTTTATATGTAAAAATATCGGAGGAAAAATTGTGATACAGATTTATGTTATCTAAATGAAGAGTAAGTTCAAAAAACTACATCCAGGATGATTCTCCTGCAAACAGTTCCAAATCTAGGTAGGAGTCCTTTTCTTTTAGAGGTAACCTTCTCTCTCAGCCACTTATGGGACAGCTCTGCCTCCTCAGCATGTGGAAGAGGGAAGGGCATTTCTATATGATTGTGGCTTTTGCCATTGAATTGTTGCTTTGTTTTTTTGGTGGTGTAGGGTAAAGCATATTGCTGTTTCATTGACACATGCATTTAGAGAAGCCTTACCAAGTTAAGACACATGGACTGGACTGAAAGAGTATCTTTTATTTATTTATTTATTTAATTTCAGAGAGGAAGGGAGAGGGAGAGAGAGTTAGAAACATCAATGATGAGAGAGAATCATTGATTGGCTGCCTCCTGCACGCCCCCCACTGGGGATGGAGCCCACAACCCGGGCATGTGCCCTTGACTGGACTCAAACCTGGGACCCCCCAGTCTGCAGGCCGGCACTCTATCTACTGAGCCAAGCCAGCCAGGGCTGGAAGAGTATCTGTTAGCAACAGAAAGAGCTTTTATAGACATCATCCAACTTTGACATAGGATATTTGGGGATCTGAATTATATTGTCTTGAATTCAATCTAGTAATCAGAGGAGCCTTAACTTCTTTGTTGATGTATTGTGTAGGTTTCCAAGCACTAGTGTTCCTCTGACTTGAGATGCTTAACGATGCTTCGTGTAATGAGAATATGCACTTCTTTGGTAGAACAGACCTAGTTTTTTATTACAAACTAGAGGCCCGGAGCACAAATTCGTGCACAGGTGGGGTCCGGTTGGCCTGCCTTGATGGGGCCCCATTGGGCCAGGCCAGTGACGGGGGGAGGGGACGCAGGCGGTTGGCCGGTCGACTCCGCCCCCAGTCGGGGTGTTGGGGTTTGATTGGGGCCTGTATCAGGCTGGTTGGCTGCCTCAGTGTGCGTCATAGCCATCGGTCGTTCTGGTTGTTCCTCCATTCCGGTCGTTGGGCTTTTATATATATAGATTGCAATGATCTGTAATTACAAATGACAGATAACATTTCATTAAGAGTTTGAGATACTGTTGTCAGCTTCATAGTCATTTTTTTTACTTGAAAAATTTGAATAGTATGATCAGCTTTTAACTTTTGGTCCTAAGATTCATGTGTTGTTAGTCCAAAATAATAGGTAATTCTTTTCCAATTAAAATTCACTCACTCAAAGATGTACACATGTTGAAATGCTCTTGCAAATATTTGTCTTGGCTTGGTAACTTGATGACCATTCATTCTTAATTAATTATGTCTATCTAAAGTGTTGTAGAAAGGAATAGAATGGGGAATGAGCATAAAAGAATTTTAACTTAAATCTAAATACCTTTGAAAGAGGTGAAAAGACTATCTAAAAGCAAGTGATTCACAAATGACTAATTTTTTATTTCACACAAACTGTATGCTTTGTTTTGCCTCTTCTCTTTATATATGCAACCATGGAAAACTGTAAACTGTCAAGAGATATTTATTGAGCACTGAGGCACTGCGAGGAACACACTGAAGAAGTATAGTATATTATTCCTGCCCTCTAGAGTTAACAATACTGTTAACCAAAGTTGT